CCAGTCTCTTGATAGCCAAGCTGTCTAAACTGCAGCTTGTGAGAGTTTGTGCATTGACTCTGTAGTAGATTCAGCAGAGATTGCATGAAAGGACCCAGGATATCTTCTGAACATCTAACATATGCAAACACAAGGCTATTTCCACGAGGCTTACTACCAATCATTGCATGCAAATGCAAGAAATTCCCAAAACACAGCAGAAAAAGTGACTTATTGTGTAAGATGTTAATATATAATCTAAATAGGAATCTATTTCTGAAGCCATTCATTAGGAAAAAAAAAAAAGAAGCAGCATGCGGCCATAAACGGTCAGTACTATGGACTCATGCTTCTGCCAAGTAATCAGTGACTCAGTTTAGTGTCTGGAAAGAGAGGTCACTCAACACCAAGGGGAAAATACAAGATGGAGATGGAAATAAAACCAATGCTACTGTAAACTGCAAGCCCGAGTCTCTTCTTGTTCTTAAAGATGAAACAAAGAATAACCAGAATGAAGTCAAAGGAAACACTTTCCAAAATGTTAAGCATAAAATAAAATTTTTTAAAAATGGAATAATCTCCATAAACTATTTTTGCCCTTAGTTTTGACAAGAGGTTGAGCTTTTTGTACTAAAGAGTAGAAGTAATGTTTTGGATATATTAACTGTAATGAAGGGCCACCCTTACTACTTTACTACTAGAAATTATTACTATTTAAATGTCTATTTTCTTTTTCAAGGTCTTTAAAGATTGTTTCATACAATTACATTTAAACTGCATTCCACAGCAGATGAGTTCCACCTTATTCCAGAACAGTGTAAAGAAATGTCAGTCTCAGGAAGCAGAGCACTAAAGGGATTTCTGATGTTTCTTTGGATGGTCTGATCTCCAGACCACATCTTGTACTTGGTCCGGAAGACAAATCTCCTTAAAAGACTTCATCAAGTGGAAACACACAAAATAATTTGTCCCCTTTACAAACCCTCAGTTAAAATACTGATAGGAAAAAAAGTATTTCTCTCCACTACAGACGAAAATATCTTGGAAGCAAGAAGCCCACTATGCACTACCTAGAACTGGTCAGCAGGCCACTTGAAGGAATACCACATGCTGGACCACTTCTTCATTATCTTTCCTAGACTTTTCAATGGGTGACAAGTCACAAAGTCACTAGTGAATAAAAACCAGTAGAATCACACTTCAATGAAAGTTTAAAAATGCCAGTTTCCACACTGATCATGAGAGGAAATGTGATTTCTGAGTGTACAAGTGACACTACCAGAGGGTTGAAGGAGGCAATCCTTCCTATTTATTCGGCACTGGTGTAGCCACACTTGAGAAACCTGTATCCAGTGCCGAGTTCCTTGCTACAGGAGAAACATGGACATACTGGAGAAAGTCCAGCCATGAAGATGCTGACAGAGCTGGAACATGTCTCCTATGAGGAAAGGTTAAGAGAGCTGGGACTGTTCAGCCTGGAGAAAAGGCCCAAAGGGACCTTATCAATGTCTATAAATACCTGAAAGGAAGGTGAAAAGAGAATAAAGCCATTTTATGCTCAACTTGGTTGCAATTCAGAGCTCCCTCTGGCTCCAAGTGAAACATGTGGGAGCTTTGCCAGAGTGCAATGGGAGAGGATGCAGGGCCTTTACACAGCCTCCCAGTGTTTTCCTCCACCCTGGTGTTATGTAAGAAACTGAGCTAAACTGCAAATATTACACAACTTTGAAAAGGGAAGGGACTAGTAAAATATCTGCATGAGTCCTTCACACTGACTCACTCCTTCCTTTCCACTTTTGCCTATGGTCCTCACTTAAGAGTATAAAGATATGCCTGAATTGGTCACTTCTTGCCTCTTAAGCATCCTCCAGGCAAAGGAGGATGTTTCATTTGTGTACACAGAACATCACACAGAGCCTAGGGACAGACTTTTTAGCAGAGCCTGTTGCAAGAGGACATGGGGCAATGGTTTTAAACTAAAAGAGGATAGATTTAAACTAGAGATAAAAAAAGAACTGTTTTACAATGAGGATGGTGAAACACTGGAATGGGCTGCCCAGAAAGGTGGTAAATGCCTCATCCCTGGAAACATCCAAGGGCAGGTTGGATGGGGCTCTGAGCAACCTGATCTAGTTAGAGATGTCCCTGGTCCTTGCAGGAGGGTTGAACTAGATGGCCTTTAAAGGTCCCTTCCAACCTAAAGGATTCTATGATTCCAAGCAGGACAATGGTGCCAGAAGAAGACTGCAGCCTTTCCCTCAATTCTGCTGCAATCATTGCTGCACTGTGCTTTGAGTACCCAAAGTCCCACACAACCTTCACACTGTTCTTGCTGTGGCTCTGAGCCCCACACTCCTACACCAACCCACAAAAATAACCAAGGGATTATCACCATCCAACAAAAGAAGCAGCAGTAGTGTTCCAGCTTGCTTGGTAACTACAAGTAAGTCACATGGGAGCAGAAAAATGACTGAATTAAGTTTTTGCCTACACACTCTATAAGCATTGTCCCATGGTTGGTATCATATTAAACAAAAATAACACAAAAAGCTTTCTAAGCAGGACATCAGCCCATGTCATATTCTGTGACCTAGAAAGACATGTGGAAACAACTGGCCCCTGCTTAGGCTGGGCAAAAAGACTGTCATAAATCTTGACATTTAAAATCCTCATTATGCTGTAAAACAGTGATTAACCCAATAAGAGCATATCCCTAGCACAGCTGACGTTCTAGCAAAATATGGTTTTGGCAATAAAAATGAAGCCCTGTAACTCAGTGATTACTTCAAATACATATATATAAATATACACATATATATAAAACTTCTAGTTGTAATAGTTTAAATATACATGTGATCTTTAGGGATGTGGAGAATATCACTGTACTTTAAGTGTAAAACATTGAGCATTAACACAAGTTGCATGGTCTAGTATTACTTAAAATACAATGCATTGTGCTAGTTTTAATGTTAAATATTTAAGACATGGCTGCAAAAATTACACAAACTAATTTATCAACTACACTTACACATTGGAAACATAGTGTGCATTTTCTGTATAGAAATTAGTTTTTTCTTTATGTTCATTAAGAAAACAGAAACTCACAGCAAGAGATCTATTTTCCATAGCTCCTAGATCTAGAAGTTCAGTAAATTTTCATAGCACGCAGTGTTATAGTATGCCACTTTAAATACTGGTCGAAATCCTCAATTCACGCAAGGAAACTGATTCAATAAAACACCTAATTCAACTTCATCCTATGACCTCACCCAGTAGGTCTGTGTCAGCAGTCTCTTCTCTGATAAAAACCTCTCATCATAACAAATTAGAAGTTTTGCCAGAGAAAAGACTACCGAACCAAGTTCAATATCTTTTGATCATATTTCTGGAAATTAGAACCACACGATCCATTGCCTTAGCAGTGTCCCAATATAAGAAGAGTAAATCTTTCTAAAAGTCCCATAGTTTCCAAACTGTGCAATTACTACTAATGATCAAATGATAACCATCATTTTAATTTCAGCTGAAATGAACAGAAATTAGGAAGATCATGTTTTGATAGTAATGTTTTAATAAGATGTGTCCACTGGTTAAATACAGCTGTGCTAGGGCTAAATGAGTGTAAAGAGCTACCTGAGATTAAACTAATGTCAAGTTCTTCAATTTATGCTCTGATTATCAAAGCAATAAAAAATACAAATAAACACCGACTAAACCATTTGGCACAAAAGCCCCAGCTTCCCTTCCACCATACTCATGCATTCACATAACTCGATATGCAATGCTAAAAATTTATCTTTATGCACTATACAGAAGACAGCCTTAAAAAGGGCCTGCTGCAGTTAATAGATAAATAGCACATGCTATTCTACCAGTAAACTGAATAACCAGGAAAACTTTGCAAAAATCAGGCTAGGCAAGTGCCATTAATGCTTCAACAAAGAGCTTCCCTTACATGAGATTCATTCCCAGATTTATAACACAAAACTACTTTGGATGGAACTTAATGTGTGTTCCCCTGTGACTCCCAGCTTGGCATATAGATAAATAAATTAAGAAACCCAAACAAAACACCCCAAAAAAGAAATGAAAGTAAACAGGACCTGGTTGTGCCCTCTGAATTTCAGGTAACAGTAAAACATCCCAGTTGTTCCACAGGACTAGGTACAACTCAGTGGGGATTAAAGTATCAGTTATCAGTCCAAAGAAAAGAATCAAATGTGAATGTTTATCTCCATGGTCTTCTTGAAGAAGAATATCCAATTTAGGCAATCCAAAAGCCTTTATTCCCTTCGGAAGAAAAAGGCTGCCACTAATATTCAACCTTACACTCTGCTCTTGTAACAACGTAGCCAGCCAGTACAGTGACTTTTTAGTAGCATCTCCCAGGTACCCACACTGTGTCCTCCTGGAAAAATTCAGGTGTATTTATATACAATTTCACTTTACTCCAGTCTGTCTTCAGACATTCCAATTCCCATTCTAGACCAAAAGTGCAGAGTCATAATCCTAATATTGTATGACTTCACTGGTCAATCACTAAGTCATCAATATATCTCTTAATATAAAAAAAAGCAGGAGGCAATTTTAGTAAATGGTTTTTAAACTTCGTGTTTTTCTAACATTGGACATGTTACAGAAATCTTCTCATTGAACAGGAACGATGACAAAGTTCATTACAATTCGAGCTCATTCTGCATTAAGGTCTACAAATATGGCTGAAACTTTTTATGAAACAATTATCAAAATCACACAGACATTATTGGTTTATTTATTATTGGTTTTCACTTATGGAATACTTTGAAAAATGTTCCCATTATCATTTTCTCAACAGTAGAGAAAATTAAATATGCATTGAGTACTGTCATACATAATAATCATGCCATTTCATATTCATTGGTACCCTCATAAATGAAACATAAGATCTTCTGAAAAGAATTTTCACCTTGAAAGAAATAAGGACCATTTGTTTACCAAATATAAATAAAAGGGAAAGCACAGAAAAGAACAGTATTTCTTACCATTGTAAGGGTGAATGGATGGCTTTCCAGGGCAGACACTCTTGGACAGTGTAAAATAACATACTGAAATAAAATGATAGAAAAGGTACATTCAGAAGACTCAGTGATGGGCTGGCACTCAAAGTGAAAGTCATCCTTACAGACAATGCTACATGAAAGAAGTGATTTTTTAGGGTCACATTAACTCACCTGACCAGGCCTTGCTTCAAAGTCATTTTTTGTCATCCTTACTTCAAGAACATTGGAAGGATGGCTTATCACTGAAGTTATCGTGACGGGTTTATTGCTGCGGATGTAACGGTACAGCCTTTCCACACAGTACAAGCACAGAGGTCCAGAAATCCAAAGCCAGGTCTATGGGAGAACAAAAATATGTTACCTGACCGACGTTTTCATTTAATGTTTTCTAACTTCACAGTTACACAAGTGCTTGAAGGACCATATTTTACATCTAACCTCCACATCTCTCTACAGAGATGCAGAAATCCATGTTCTTAAGGCTTAATCAGGAACAAAATGCTAATGACCTCATTCACTGCCATGTTATTCTGGTTTCATGTAGTTAAGAATGCCAACTGTTTTCAGCAGTGAACAGTATGTACACAGTTTCAAAATCTAACAGAATTTATGTTGATATTAAACTAATGTAAAGTTATAGACAGACAGAAACAGGCACTCTTGAATCACAATTCAGTTGCCCCCATGGAAGATATGCATGCTAGATAGATAATGCCCTAGAAATGGCCATTTCTCTGCACTGATTATATGAGGAGCCCTGGGTGACTACTCCAGATGGAGTCATTTGCAGCTGCTCAGCTCAATATCATCCTAAGAGTCAATTATGAACAGTTTATGGCAGACTTAGCTACTAATTCCACATCTGCTCAGCCATTCAAGCAGTAACACTGAAGTGCCCTCGACCCTCATCCATCTTCCCTTCAAAATATTTGAAGTTACACATCAACACCTCTTGCAACTAGCAGAATATTACTCTTAGAAAAGGCCTTAAAAGTTTTAGTAGCTCACAGACCTGAATGTTTTTGTTTTAGACTCAGTATCACAGAGTAGATAAAAAACTTCCAAATCAAAAAAAGTCCTAAATAGCATTACACAGCTGCTAGAGCACTAAGTGGCCATTTCTTTCCATGACTCTTTTCCCAAAAATGGCTCTAAAGGAGGCATCTTAAGCCCCTAGGGAGACTGGTTGCTGTCCCATGTGTCATATGGAGCCAGATACACACTGGTGCTTGCATACCAATCCAAAAATCTTTGTTGGAGGAATTCCGTAGAATTGACTATTTCTGACTATGATTACATGCTCCACAGAAAAATGGTTTCCCACTGCAGCTAGTAAGGGATGCACATGTTCTACTGGAATCTATGATAATAATAAAGAGAAACTCCTGTGACATCTGTTTACGGGACCATCTTGAATAATGGGCCTTGGACTTCTGAACTCCATATTCCCAAACTTCCCCAGGCTACTTGCCAAGACAACCCAGCTCATCTTTGCTCAAAACAAAAGAGAAAATTTGGATGAAGAAAAAGCTGCTGCCACAAAACAAAGAAACAAAAAGAAAATTAAAAAACAGAAAAAGAAAAGGCTTTTCTATCCCCACTGTCATCATGCCCATTTACCCATGCCACATATAAAGCAAGCCTGTCTACAAACAACAGACTACAAAAGCCAAACTACAACCAACTGCAACCCAGAAATGAGTATTAAGACTAGCATCTGCATGGTAAAAAAAGAGAACAAATGGAGCTTGATTATTTCAATTAACTACTGCCACACAATGCTTGCAAAGGGACCTTATGAAATGTTACATAAATGTTTGCTCTGAAGTGCTATGCTGTAATTTAAAGTCACATTCATAGCAGGACCAATGCATCTCTTATCATATTGTACAAAAAAGAACATTACAGCCAATCTCTTGACATTTTTCCACCCTCCCTATTCTATGCACCACATTGTAATGCAGTTCAGGGTTTAATACGGATTGTTTTCTCCCCACCAAATCTTTGAATGCCTCAAAAGGTTTTAATAATATTTTCCATTATTAAAACATCTGGTCTGGAAAAGCAATAATTAGTGGTTATGGCTGACTGAAAGACTTGGCATGGCTTGTAATACCTGAAATGTCGGATCATACAGACCTCTGGGAAGTGTGGCTGGAACTTGGGTTCCTTGGAACAAATTCTCATAAAGTTATTTTGTACAAAGGGTTCTGGTACTGGTAAGTCCTCTGGGAAAGGCTCAGTAGTATAGTCAGGAAACAGGTCTTCAAAAGCCTTTGGCAGAGTCATGTTCTGTTGGAGTGTTTTGTTAGGATTAAAGCAACCAGGCGGGTGTTCCTTTAAGTTGGTCTGGTACTTCAGCACTCCCCTACAGGAAAATAAAAATAGTAAAGACACTGAAGTAACAGTAAAAACCAAACAACTTATCTTAATTTGGTGAGGGTTTTAGAAAGCAGTCACAAGCCTCATCTTATGTTAGAATTTTTATTCCATTTGCTTTTAGGACTTTCAATGAGACTGAAGCTTTAGAACAATAGAGCCTACTCTGACTAGAGGCAAGGTTTAGCTTTTCCAGCTTACTTGGCACACTCTCCACTGAACAGCCTCAAGCTTAATAATGCTTGAAAGGGGGAAAATATTGTGGGAGCCTTGAAAAAAAAATTAAATAATCACATCTCCAGTTCAATCACACCCAGGCTATTTTCACTCATCCTCCCTACTGTCAGCAAGCCCTGTTTTTAAGGCAAGCTTGTAGCACAACTTGAGACAAGTTCCCAAACCAAACTGCAGGAATGTTCCCACTACTCAGTGTTTATCAGGTTTGCACACAATGGTATAGTTTTTTCCTCTGGATATCATCTTGCCAAACAGACAGAAGTAAAAAAGAAAGTCCTGCATGATAGCCAAGGAATCTTCCTTGCAAATTATTTTTGTGAGGTCCATGCCTTTTTTTTTTAAAGCTAAATTAAATGTATAGTAAAATTAAGTGTGAACTTTGCAGGTGCAGCTAGAAACTCTGAAGAAAGAAATGGACACCTGAGACACTCTGGGATATCTCAGCACATGAATGAATCGTTGTAAACAGGGAAGAACAGGTAACAGTAGTAACAAAATTTCTCAGAAGTACTACTTACCTCCAAATATGGATCTGATGACAGTAAAACCACAAGCAGGAATATTAAAAATAAAACCCAAACAAAATGAAGGGCTGAATGACATCTGTATAGGATGGCACTGGGTGGGAAACATGGCATAACGAGACAACATCTGGTTAGACGCACCCTGAGTGCTAGGCCACGTTCTGAAGGCTCATATCAAGTGTGCAATCAAACATAAGGACATATGGTCTCCCTTTTCTCCCCAGTGTACAGACAGCAGCAGTAGCAACAGGGTTTAATTCACAAGAAGTGGGATAACAAGGACATCTGCAATATTCCCAACTTAAATGTGTTCTGACAGGCTATTGGCAATTTTTCCTACCAAAATGCAGTTCTGACAGGTAGTAACAAGCTTCCCGCATGGTCCAGTGAATAATGTCAGCGCAGAAGCTAAACCTGCTCACTCTAAACTCCACATCTGACCCCCTGAGAATCATTCGGGAAGTGTCCTTGCACCTACACCCATGCTTCTGCCTGAATTTATTGCTCAATCATGCCTATCGCTTGCATCTGGCATCACTGCTGGTCACCACATATTTGCAAAGTGACAGAAACCCCTAGCACTATGCAAGTTCCCTGCTCCATAAATATTATGGTGCCTCATGGATTTAGATGGAAGTCACAGCCCTTGCAATATTTTTCCAGTCAACCTTGTGTGCATGCCTGACAGCTGCTCCCACAGCTTCTCTGTTCTCAGAACATCCCAAAAGAGTATTTCCTTGAGACATTAATGGCTGCAAACGTGAGCATCCCCCTTCGGTGATCTCTAGTTTGTTTAAACTATTACAAACATGTTAACTGAATAGCGAACTGGGATGACAAAGCTGCCTATTAACAGCAGTTGCAACGATTCCCATTTCTGAAGTTGTCAAGGAAAGGCAAGTGTTACACACTCTAGATCAGTTCCCATAAAGGTCAACTTCTGCACAATTCTTAGGAAGCCTAAGATATAGCCTAATATTTATTTAAGGCAACACTTGAATAGATTAAAAAAAAAAATCAGTGTGGATGTCAGTAAGTAGAAGACAGACATCTTCAGCAAACAAAAATGGGCGAGACAAAATGATAAAGTGATCTAAAAGTGTTCTACAGGCTGAGCAGCATGGCATGCAGGATTTGCAAGGGCATTCATCAACCTCTTTCCTATCTTTCTACCTCCAAAACAAAGACAAAATTCACTTCTGGCTAGAGCTGGAAAATACATATCACTGTTTCTTGAGACTTTAAAGATGATAAACTAGACATCAATGATTCTAAGTGATTTTCATTGCGACTTGCACTGCTCCTTATCTTCTCATTCATCTTCCACTGCACAGCTCAAGGTGAGATGCTTAAGGGGTCTGCTAAAGGTCAATGTGTGGCTGGAATTTTAAGAATTTTCACCTTTTGGAAGAAAAATCCTTGGATAACTCTATTGACAGCATAAAGGCCTTATTCTCAGCTCCTATGACCCAGCTAACACATTTAATTCGACAGTAATAGCAAATTTGGATCAGCTGGGGATCTGGCTCCATTGTTTTGTGTGTTTTATAGCTCTTTACATTGGTACTAGAAAAACCAGGCTTCTGTTTTTCTTGAATTATTTTTGTTGTTGCTATTAGTGACTTAAAATATAGAAAAATGAATGCAGATATGCATCAAGTCTTAAGCCACTAAAATATTTGAAAGTCATGTTGCAAGAAGTACAATGTCAACTAAAGCCTTTAAGGATAATGGCTGAAAAATTCTCCTGTCCCTCAAGGGTGGGAAGAACGAACAAACCAGTAACATATGACAGATGAAACATACCACTTTATATATTTCTGACAAGTGTTTGGCTACCTGAAGAAGGGGATACTGTAAGAACATGCCTGTAACAGTTCAAAATAAACCAAGAATCCAGGAATATTGTGCAAATGCTTAAAAGAGACTCCTAAGACAGGCAAAACCTCATTTGAATTGCCTGCACAGTTCAGCCACAGGAGATGCCATGTTCTGTAGAATGACAGGCTATGTGTCTGCAAGTCTCTAAGACATGCCACACCGGAGTAATTTGGGCACCTAAGTGTGGGTACTCTAAGCTTCTTTTATTCTCAGAAGACATCATAGAATCAATTAGGTTGGAAAAGACCTCTAAGTGCATCGAGTCCAATGATTAACCCAGCACTGCTGTGTTCACCACTAAACTATGTCCCTAAGCACCACATTTACACATTTTTTCAATACCTCCAGGGATGGTGACTCCACTATTTCTCTGGGCAGCCTGCTTCAATGCTTGACACTGAAACATTTTCACCCTTTCAGAGAAAAAATTCTTCCTAATATCCAATCTAAATCACCACTTATGCAACTCATGGCCACAAGTGGTCACTTACGGAGCCCAGAAATCAGTCCAGCTCACTTGAATTTAGATCTTTGTAACAGTAAGTTAGCTGAAGCATCCTTCAGGCTCCATTGACTGTATTTATCAGAACTCATTAGATCATAATGGGAGAAAGACACTTAGAAAACATCTAGAGACCTACATTTAGGCATCTTAAACTTGATCTGACTCCCACTCTCCATGACTCATTCCTCTCCCACTTTTAACTGACACTCATTTCTTTTAGATTTGCACTGAATGCTTTTGTAATTCAATACTAAGGAGGTTGTGTACCAGAAAACGCCTGTTCAATGCTTGGTGTGTTACTGCAGCCTTGGTTTGCAAACTTGGTAAATGGAATATGGTTAGGAATACAATGGGCAAAGGATAACACAGTGAAGGAGATTAATTAAACTGGACATGAAAAATACCCCAGAGGCAATCACTGGAACAGACTGCCTAGGGAGGTTAAAGGATCTCAGTCACCAAATGTTTTCAAGAAGTTAGACAAACACCTGTCAAGAATAATTTAGAAAAAGTTCATCCTGTCCCAGGATGGGGAGAATAGGTTAGATCCATCTTCACCAGCTATGAACAAGAGCTATGCAACAGGGGAAAGAAACTAAGCAACCGAAAATCAAACCCTCAGAGAACTGGAATTGTGTCCAGGAGTTTCAATTGTTTTGAACTCATTTTTTCAATTCAGCAGATCTCAAGCTGTGTGTTTTGTTCAATAGTGTATTCCTACTGTGATCTTGATAGGCCTAATTACCTTTCCAAGTTTACTCTAAAAAGAAGTGCTTAGCATCACACACTCAAGGTCCCTGCATTTCAGTAGATATTTGATGAAATAAACCTCATTCAAATACACTTTGCCTTCTCTACACCAATCTCTGCAGCTACACCCACAAAGGCAATTTCAGAGATGTTAATGGAATTATAGAACAATTTGGGTTGGAAGGGACCTTTAAAGGTCATCTAGTCCAACTCCCAACCCACACATATGCTGTAACTTGAGGATGCTGCTTTACCTTGCAACAGAGCTGGACTTTTTTGTGCCTGATGCAGACCTGACCATCAGGTTCATGGCACATGAACACTGGACTGGTTTTTGAAAACTAAAAAGAAAAACTAGCAAATTTTGTATCACAGCAATGCTGAAGAGGTAGTTAGGGAGAAGGCATTCCTACCCTCTCTTTAGGACTCAAAATTGAAAGCAGAGAGAAAAAGGCAAGGGATGAGCAACTTTGCTTCATATTCTCCTCTCAGCAAACAGGTAAGAGAGGGCAGAAAATAGCCAAGAATGTTTTCTTGATTTTTCACTAGACACCGGTGAAATGGACAAGAAATAATCTTGAAAGTGAAGAAGTTTGTGCTAGCTGGCTGTAGCAAACAATTCTCCAAGCTACAGTCTGATCTTTGTTTAAACAAACACTTGTTGAAAAACTGAAGAGAACAGCATCATGTCACAAAGTTGGCTCACTGTGCACAAGCAAGCTTGGGAAAGGCAGCAATTTGGGAAACTGCTTTTCCTGGTTGTGCTTCAGGCAAAGGGATAATGTTTTCCATTTACTTACCCAGAAACATGCAGCATCAGCAGCATATAGAAGACAAAGAAAAGGTTGTGTGTATACCAGAAGATGTCATAGTTTGAAACCCTGAAAAGAATAAACCATGGTTCAATGCTGTTACAATTCAGATGGAATCACTGCTAATTAAAAGCAGACCTGTGCATACAGGACATCATACACCATGTAGTCATGCAGAATAGTCAAAGAACAGTATATTTTCCTATGGCCACACTGTACTTGTACTTCTGAGAAGAACAAGTGACTGGCACAGAAGTAACAAGCTGAGAGATAGAAGGATCTAGAGGTACCGAGCCAGCTAAAGAACTCTTTCGAAATTAGGAGACTTCACTGTTTTTATAGGTCCCAGTTAGTTTCTATGCGATCCTTGTAGCTAGAATAGTTCCTCGGTCTCCAGTCTGAAAACTCAGCCTCTTCATTGTGAGTGTCACCTTGCATTCCCTCTGCACCAATACAGGGCTGCCAGGTTTAACGTGTCACTAACGTTAACGTCATTAACGTCACTAACATGCAAACAGGTAGAACAGACAGCAGCAGAAGGACTAGTGAGAAGGGAAAACACTTGTAAGGGTATGCAGTGGAAGGAGATACAGGAGGAATGGGAACTAGAGCAAGGAGGTAACAAGAGGACAGGTAGAAGAATTTTCATAGCAGGAGGTCACATACAGTACAGCTCTAGGACTACTGGTCTCGGGATAAACAAGAAGAACATTACCACTGTGAGATCAGGAGAGGTGAAGGGAAAAGAGCACTTCTTTTCATCAGTAATTTGTTAGGCAATATGAAAAGAAACAAGACCAAAGAAAATAGCCATCTGGAACTGTTTTCTGCTAAGCCTGCTTGTTTTCTTCCTGAGTAAAATAGTCACTAAAAAAACCACCAACAACCAAATGGTTAAAAAATACACTACTTCACAGCACACAAACACACCTCATACTACACAGCACAGTAGGAGAGTCCCTTCCAAAACCAAAACACCTACCCCCATTCATAATCCAAACTAATTATTAAATGAAAAACAACCTTAACTATGACAACATGGTTTAAGAAGCTACTTGTCTGACACAGGTTTGGGGTTTTTTTCAGATTTTTTTTTCCCTTCTGTGGTTTTCTACTACTCTTGCTCCAGTACAACTGAAACATATGCTGCATGTTTCTGTCAATACAGGACTTGGTCATTTTCTTTCTCAAGAGAGAAAAAATAATTTTTATAATCTGAGGGCTGCCAAAATAAAATCCAAGCAAGGGAAAGAACAAGAAAGGAAGCAAGGAATGAACAAAGGAAGCAAAGGAAGGAACCTAGCAACAGCAATGGGATCTGAACAACCCCCCTTCTACCCTGCCATCCTTCCTCCTAGTCAGCACCATACTAAGACTTTTTCCTCCTTGGGGCAGCGCATACCATTTCTAACTCTCCACACCCTGGTACACATTTCCATGCCTACCAGCTATCTGTAAGGAGTTGTGGGAGGGAACATCAGTAAGCAGAAAATAAAGGATGACTGTGTAGGGAGCGGAAGCACAACTGGAAAGCACAGAGTAAAATTTACCCTCCGTCCCAAAACAGAACCTAGAATCCTAAAACAGCTTGGGCCAGAACAGGCCTTAAAGACCATCTAGTTCCACTCTCCCTGACATGGGCAAGGACAAGGACAGGTCTTGGAGCTCTGGTTTAATTTGGTAACTTGCTGTAATACCAAAAAGCTTCACACTGAATTCATTTTTATTGGACCCTGAACACTTTTTTCAGAATGCACCAATTTTTCAAAATTTCAGTGATGGAAAGTCAATTCTTTGACTGCTTCTGACATGCTGTTTTCAACACCTAATTATTGCTACTGATTAAAATTACCATACACTTCTTGTCTGAATATGTCTAAATGTGAGTTTCCAGCCAGTTGTTTCCTGTCCTGCAAATTCTGGCTCCTCACATGTATCAAATTCCCCTAAATGTGATCAAGTCCTCTGAACTTCAGCTCTTTAAATTAAAGGGATGAAAAACCTTGGACCTCTTGGCATGAAGCATATTTTCCAATATTTCAATAATTATGCATTTCTTACTTGTATCCTTAAACTGCATATCCTACAGATACATACAGTATTCTAATTCCTGCAAATTCTGGCTCCTCACATGTATCAAATTCCCCTAAATGTGATCAAGTCCTCTGAACTTCAGCTCTTTAAATTAAAGGGATGAAAAACCTTGGACCTCTTGGCATGAAGCATATTTTCCAATATTTCAATAATTATGCATTTCTTACTTGTATCCTTAAACTGCATATCCTACAGATACATACAGTATTCTAATATACTCAATATTCTTCCTACTGCTACAAATGTATTTTTATAGTTCTTCAGAACATTACTTTTTTTAACCTTCTTCTTAGGGCTTAAAATAGATATTATTCACAGAATTAATGCACTTCTTAGGAATGCTAAAGTCCTGAAATATTGAGGTAAGTTGAATATTTAAATTTAATTTTGGCTAATCTACTTTAGAATTTTGCAGGTGAAAACCTGCAAGAGTTGACTTACTGAGAAATGTGAGGGGAGTTTGTCATTCTTTAAAGGGACACAGTAGGCAGTTTTTGAAAAATATTTTTAACCCTGTTACAGATGGTTTTGAAAAGGAAGATATTTGTGGTAGTTTAGAAGATGAAATTGACAACTAGAATATTTGGTTACAAAAAGAGATGGCATTGGAGCATCTAATATTTTAATGTTCCTTTAAATCATGAATAATATTACTTCGAAAGTTAGCCAATATGTCAACATTATTGACAGGATTTGTTGGGGTTTTTTATGGTAACTTCATAACTCTTCCAAACAAATAACTACCGAACAAAAAACGTTAGTCTAATTCTCAGGCACGACATGGCAAGAATTTAGAAAATTTTTCAAACCACACTTACTTTCCCCTTTTAAAACATAGCAACTAATTCAATCCTTCTAATAGTTATTCACACAGTTAACTGAACAAGTAAAGGCAGGAAATTGGCAGGATAATAATGCACAGAAAAACTTCAGGAAGAATTTACAAAGGAAGAAATTATTAAGCAGTCAGTGTAAAAGAGAAAACTAGGGCTGAAATCCGAGCATACAATAGTCTCTGAAATACTTTTTTTAAAGCCCAGTTTCTGATAGGCAGAGAACATTTACAACTCATTTTCCTAAGACTACATCATACACTCAGCCATCATTTTTTTGGGAAAGAGACTGGGACAGAGACGCATGCAGATGCTTGTTTCCTTACAAAAACACACTATAAAGACAAGCTTGAGCTATATGCCTGAGGGAGAAGCCAGGATAAAATTTCTAAATAAGAATTATTGCTAGAGTAACAGGAGACGCAGATGATCTCTTAGGGGCTTTGACTCTGCTGGCTAGATGGCAGAAAGCCGGGAAAGCATTTGCACTTAGAGTAACTGAAGAAGGAAATAAAAACCTTCAAAAGATGCTGCATGAACCCTGAATTATTATTTCCAAGAATATGCTTACAACTACATATATTTGTCTAAGTTTCTCAATCATTAACACATGATGTTCTCTTTTTTGTCTAATTATGGCCTTGAAGAAAACAGGACTTTGTTCTGGCTCACTGCTGCAGAGTGAAGTAATTGTTTTATTTTTCCATCTTCCCAAAACTACCTTTATTTTGCAAAAAAAGCCATTTGAGTGGACTATGTAATGTGCAGCCATGCTGACACCTCGTGCAGCATCCTAATCCTGCACTTCTGCAGCTTGCAGTGTCTCACATAGGTCCCGACCAAGGACGAGGACGTAGCTTTGTCTACTGAAAATGCCCAAGTATTTGCTGAACTACTTTCCCAAATCACAGGATAACACTGCCTGATAACATTTCCACTCAGGTAAGACAGAATAGTTCAACAAAGTTCAAAACAACATATCTAGCCCACATCAGTGGAGCACCATTAATGTTTGAAGATACATAATTAATATATCCTTGCATGTTTTCTGAATTGAGATGTTGCATTTACATAATCAGTCTTGGAATTTCATAGAGACTGCTATAAAAATGAAGGGCTTGTTTTTCTATGTTCAATTGCAGAATCCAAGCCTTAAGAGACTACAGCATTGGGCTAGGCCCTCCAAGCTACCAGTCACTCACAGGTACTATGTTCAATAATGTTGGTGCAGAATGTGAACTCATTGCAGGACCAAATCTTTAGAAATCCAAGCTGCTGCTCTAATACAATGCTGCACTGCTGTTTGGAATTAGAATTCAGATTAAGAATATATTTGACAACCAGAAGCAGAGCTTTAAAAAAAGCAACATTCTACTTAAGTAGCACAATTTTGTTTTGGTTTGTTGCACTGCTGGGGTTTTTTTTGTCACTAGTTTTTTTAATAGTTTGTTGTTCCAATTAATTGGTGAAAATAATTAAGATAAAGATATCATCTTATTTTACTTCCAGTGGCCTTAATTTATGCCTTGGACAGAATTTTCCATATGCTTAATTTACTGCCTCCCTGTACAAACAGGAGAAAAAAGAACTGTATTAATTTTTGATAGTCTAAATTTTTAACTGAGCACATTCAAACAGTATTTTTCTCAGAAGGCAATTTAATCAGGTTTTGTAATTGTTTTAAGACAAAATTCACTGCGTTAATTTTACTGCAAGCTAGGAAAAAAGTAGGGCAAGAAAACTGGTATTTTTACCACTCTAATCACTATGAAAATATGATTACTCAAATGGCATTTTTCAGCATAATGATCAGATTACACATCTTACCTGATGGCATACGTGGAAGCTGTACACATTAGGAATAATACCAACACCATAATGACTCCAGTCAGACCTGGAACTAGAAAGGACATAAGAGAACTTACATTCGACCTGTGAAGAGGTATACTTGTCTACTATGATCTTTAAAGAAAGTTAAATTAGACATACAAATCATGATTCAATCAAACTCTTGCATGTACTCATGTCTTGCATACAATTTGTGTATCATACTAGATAGGAAAGTAGTTGTGTGATTTTCCAGCCTCCCGGAGAAAACTACCCTTTTCTTTGCATTTCACCATGCATCACTAATTTCCTATTAATCTTTGCTCCTGTATTCTTTTGTTTGTGACATCTGTCTCCAAGCAGGTAACTAAGAACAAACCCTGTTATTTGTAAGACTGGCTGTACAAGTTTCTGTATCTTTTATTCCAAACCCTAAACTTTGTTGATCATTGCAATTAAAAACCTGGTCAGGGACAGAATTTCAAGCAAATCAAATTCTACGCAAGATGTCACTACAATTGTTTGCCAACCCATTTCATTCTGGAATGAGGAAGAGCCTGAAATTGCTCTCCATGGCATTGTATCATACTTGAAATTGTTGCCCATAGAGCAAGGTCTGTGAGAGTGATCTGCAGCCAGCATTTAAGAAGGAAAGGTTAAAAATATTAACAATTGGACTAATTTTCTCAAATGCAGACTTGTATCAGAACTAGTTTATCCTCAGCTTTTCCTCAAGTTGAAGGAGAGAAACAAGTATCTCTACAGGATGACACATCTCATCCTGAGGTAGAATCCTGTCCATAAAGTACAGTAAATCCCCGGTGTAAAGACAGATTGGAAAAATACTAACCAAAGTCACCACTTTTTCTGAGTACCTTATCTTCAAAATTGTCATCCCAGAAATTAAGAATATGAATTAAGATCCTAACATCTATGAAGCATGACATCAATTCCTTTTACTCCTCAAAGACTGGTAGTTTTTAAGCAGAGTTTCTGACCACCCTAAAAGCCATCTGTTTGGGTTTAAACAACGTCAGTTAGGCCAATCACCAAGTACAAAACTAAATAAATGCTGGTTTAGTGTCAAAATATAAATGTCTCAACCAGGTTTTAGGGATGTAAAATGCAAAACCACATTGTAATGGTCCACAATCTTTTACAGGATCCTAATGATGAGCAAGCTAATTTTTTTAATAACTGATTGATATTTCAGACTCTAGCAATAAAGATACAATCTCAAATCTTATGATTTTATAAACTTCTCAATATCCACTCATTGAAAAGTCTGATACCCAAAATTTGGCAGATCCCAAATCACTCCACAGTTTTACAAGGTTTAGGAAAAATCCCAGCCCTACAATCAATGGAAGTTTTGTCATGGACTGCTTAAGAAACTTAATTTCAACCCTTCATGGAAAGACTACAATTAAAAGCAGTTCCAATTAAATAAAAATGCATTCTGTCCATTGCCTCTTTCTTCATTTCTTCTGTCTCAATCTATTTTGAGGTGTACTGTGCAATCAGCCTCCTCTGACACAAATACTTCCAATGCAATTGCAGTATAGCACTTGATCCAGCTTCCTACACTGTCACGCTAGCCACAGGTCACCTCTTACATCCAATTTTTCAATTCTCTTCTCCAAATTGCAAATATGAAATCGATCATAATCTTGCCCCAATTTATCAGTGCAGTTTCCTCTATGACCTGTCCCTGTCTCCTTTTTCCTTCACTAACTTGATTCTTGAAGACACATTCCTCCCAGAATTCACACCCTTACACAAGGAGATTCCTCCTGGACTGCTCTGAAAAGTCATCACGCTACAAATCCTTCCGAATCCTTATTCTTTCTGTTTGCTGTGTCAAAAACCAAGCCCAAAACAGTCAGCCAATAAATCTAGTTCTGGACTGTCTGGGAAGAGACCAGTGGTTTTTTGCATAATTGCACAGCTCCCAGTGCAGCAAAATCTTGGTCCCTGTCCGGGCACTCCTTCAGCACAAATAATAAAGGTTAACTACCAGTCATTTAGGATTGGGAGTAAGCTGAGTAACTTTAAATTCAGTATGACAGAATCACTGCTTCTTGCAACAGCGTGTTCAAACTTTTGAAAATGCAGTGTTTTCCCAGCTAATAGAGAGCAATAGGAGTTCCACCTCTCAACTAGAGAGGTATTGAGGTGTCCCCAAAAGCCAGGACAGAATTTTATTTGGCCTCTCACGGCTTCTCCATCTCAAGTCCTTCCCCTCCATACAAAATAATAAATATAATGCTCAGTTGCCTGGTTTGATTCTCCGCCACATCTCCAACTCCCTCCTCCATCAGTTACCCTCTTTCAAGGCACCACCACCAGTTCACTAACTACATCGGTTACCCAACCTTTTTCCACTTAGCAGTTAACTCAATTTCTAGCATTTCACTTTCTCACTTCCTCTAAATTCCCTAAAGTTTTTGGAAAGCATTATCCCACAGGCTGCTAATTCTAGTACATATATTGGGATTGACAGATCTGGAACTCCATCCATTGCTGTCTATTCATAGATTCCTTTGGACTGTGCCCTGAATGATTTCTGTGTTTGATCTAAATAAGGGTGAAAGTGAGGTGGCATCAGGAAAGACCTTTACCTCCTTGTGAAGCACTACAGCTCAGGCTGGCACCTGCCCCTCCATATCCAAACGCTGCTCCTTTCTAAACTCCTGCACCAACATCTATTCTTTATAGCCTGACTCCCATGTAACAGTCTAGATTGCTCTGAAGCCAAACCAACCCTCAAATAAACCAGCTGAAGCAAGAAGACCACTTTTCTATTATGTTTCTTTTTCTAGAAATTGGATCATTTAGGAATTTGGATTTAATATTATGCAGAATCTGTTTGAAACTAATGATTTTCCGCTGACTCATCCGTACAACAACAGCTTTGAAGATGCTGCTCATCCTACTACTGGGCTTATGTAACTCCTCCCTCCTGACTACTGGATATGCAAATTCAGGTTATACTTACACAAATAACACAACTCAAGCTAGCTGAGATACAAATGGAACATGTGAACACAGGATTAAAAAGTTTCAGGTGGAGAGTGATGCAGAGAAGCAGCAAACGTTCTCATTCAGTTTTGCAACAGACTTACCAGTTGCAAAGAGTAGCTTCCTTGGGTCCTAAAAAAACAAACAAACAAAAAAAAAAAATCAACATAGGGGATTTTATATCTACACAAATAATGTGAAAATAGTAAGTAGCTCAAGGCTCACACATTTTAAGACATAAGCAATCCCAAAATCTGGACGTAGGAATGGTTTTGGTATTTGCGAACAGTTTACACTGACTGCGATTCAACATGAACTAAACCTTTAGCCTTTGCATTCCCCCAGTGAAGACAATTATCATCTGTTATGAAAAACTGGGATTCAAATAATTTTACAGATAATTATTTTTTGAAAGCTTAACTTTACTCAATTACCTCATCCCTTTGGGAGGACAGAGGGGAGAAGTTGGGAGAGATTTTGAATTTAAATGTAAGACAAGCAGCAGGAGTTTTACTGCCAGCTACATCACCAAGAGATTTGTGGTAGACTCTAGTGAAGCAAGACTGAACACAAGGGAGCTGACATTACAAGTCCAGATGTTCCTGTGTCCTTCACCACATGTGAAAGGAAGAGGGGATATGTCAGCCTCACAGGAAACTGCCTCGCTCCCCCCCGAGTCCTATACCTCAAGAGGTTTGGTCTTTGCTGAGGACAAAACTTTTGGGTTGTATTTTTCATTTAAACTTGCAAAAAAATGCAAGGTGAATAGTTTTCATGCAGGTCAGGAAAAACAAAGCATCCTTCTCTCCAGCCTTGTCTGGATTCAGATGTGCAAACCCATGTACAAAAGATGACAGTAACATCCAGATTGCCTACCACAGTTAAACAGGTTTAAGTGAAATTCAAGTACATAGGTTCAAGAGCTACTAAAGAGCCTAAAATCCAAGAGGTTTTGATCCTAGAGCTCCTTATAAACTTGCTATTATCTCCATTTTCTATTGCAAAATTCCTATGGCTGTTTAGTAGAGGCCATGCACACTCTGGCAAGTCCTTGCCTGAGGCAAGCTCCTGCTAATGTTCCTGATGAGGTCAAGTCTATTAGACCACTCCTAACAGAAGCAGACGCTGAGTTCAACCCGGAACCTCAGCACAATAGTTGGTGTTGGCATGTCTGCCACAGAATAGCTTGTTGATTAGATCATTCACCCAGGGAGTGGAAGACCTTGGTTGTTGGTCCTTATGAGCCTGGGCTGAGTCAAGCTCTCTTTTTCCAGGAAAGGATGCAGCTGGGATAGGGTCATTCTAAATATTTCCTCACGAAGCTGGTAGAAAAGAAATGCAGACTTGAGACCAGAATGAATATAAACAAGAGGGAACTTGATTGCAGCCCAAAGAAGAAAGAGTCCTGGGCTCCGGTCTTGCTGCTAAAATCTGCAAATGACTCTCCAGCGCCAAATACACAAGCAAACACCTGGAGAACGGATTAGGGATGTGGTATGTCTGCATGAGATCTGCACCACCGTCAGACAAGGCACACAAACCAAGTATTTCACAAGTAGAAATCAGCTTCCAGCCCTGTTCATGCAGAGAACTAATTCCATTCTTAGCATATATACTCATATATACACCCACTACAGCTTAAAAGTGCAAAATCAGTTTCAAATCTTACTGCTCTTGAATTCTCAGCATATGTCACATAACACTATACTCTAAATAGTGGAAATACAAAATGTATTTTCTCAGAAAGCAGCAGCAATGTCTCAATCAGGCCCACCCAAGGAACAGAGAGAAGCAGAAGGGAAGAACAAGTTGCAAAGTGATTACATTCTCCATCTTACAGGACTGAACCCTGCTGGCTTATACAAAAAAATGCTTAATACATGTTTTGTCCAGAGAAAGAAGTAAAAATCCACAGCAATTCACATGACCATGAGTTTTCAGTGCACAAAACAGCAGCACTGTCTAGATAACAGGATGGCTCATACAATGGAATTTAATATGCAGGTAATTGTATATTCAAATTCTATGCTTAAAAGCAAAATATGAAAGGACAGCTAGCTCACCTCACCACGATAGTTTGCTGCATTTAGGGCCAGAAATTCTTCGCTGTAGTTCTCTGAGAAGCTAAGAGCATTCACCAGATGAGCAGAAACATGTAAGACTACAAAAAAAAAAACAAACAAAAACACAAAACTGAGTAAAGCTGAAGTCTGTAAACAAGAGGTGGATGTTCCCCTGAAGTAAAGAAAAGTGGTCACCCAGATGCCAAGCTATAATCACTTCACCTGCATGAGATACATCAGGGATTAAGGAATTCTTTTCCTTAAGTAAATCAGCTTATAAATATTCATGACAGAAAGCTGTATGTATTTTTTAACACTATAGCAATGATTTCCGTGCTGCAATGCTTTGCTGAGAGACAACATTCAAAGGTGTCCAGACAAGAATTAGTTCTTCTTCACCAAATTGGGTATTTGTCTCCACTGCACCCTCCTCTGCAGAAAACCCTGCAGCACCCTGCTTCTTCACCCGAATTCCTTAGGTACAATGAGGGTTACTTATAATGGCAGATTTTCATCTGATCTCATATACCTGTCCTTTTAGAACTGGAATTTTAAAGAAAGGCTCATCATTAGAATGCACGCCCATCTGTTTAAAGCGAAAATGAACCAAAACCCACACATATCCGAGAAAGCATTTACAATCTGAGACAGGCAAGAACAGAGCAAGACTACCCCCAAATGTACTGCAGAAGAAAAACCGCCAAGTACTGCTTCAATGTGCTTCCCAAACATGATGCTGCTCAGCACAGTAAGAGCTCACCTGAAAAGATGCATATTGTAACACCACACATCACATGGAAAGTTTTACTTTTATCTAGCAGCCTTCTGGTTTTCCTGCTGGCAACCTAGTAAGAAAAGAATTCAAGCAATCTCTTCTTAAAGCATAGGAAAAAAAAGTACCAACAGCAACTGAGGCAACATAATAGCAACTTCTGCTTTTACTAGGTTTAACAGCCTTGCAAGCATAGTACCTAAATTTAAAAACTACTGGATTATGACAAGGAGATAATTTGGAGAATTTGATGAAGAAATTACAGTTGGATCTGTATTACATAGATGTCAAGAGCACTTAATGTACCTTTTGGCCTTAAAATTTAGGAATTTCAGCGCTATTTGTGTAGGCATAACTGACTCTTTATTAAGCAAGTTCTAAAAGCAAGGTATATTTGCATACACATGTGCACATAGGCATCAAACCTTATAGGTACTGTAACATGATGAATAGAACTCACAAGTTCAATTTGCAACATTCTAGCAAACACAAATGTTCCTCAAAAGCATTACTCATATTTTCTGCAACAGCAACTGGTGAATTTCAAAGAAGCTAAACTATTGTTTACTAAATACCGGTAGAGAAAACAAATCCTCTCAGATTTGTCAAACATTTTTTTCCTCCCATTACAACAAATATACCAGGTTGGGTATTTTTATTTAAAATTCTATCATCTCCACTAGGACAAGGTTGGTTTTGCTCTGTTGAATTCTCCCAGGAAGCAGTAGAGAAGACACGGATGTCTTCAATATAATAGTTGGGAAACATGGAGCAGAATCTGGTTACAGTTTCACAGCAATTCCACATCTTTCAAAACTGCATTGCAGAAACCGTCCCCGTAACAAGGTCAAATCAAAACAGGCAGTATCAGTCAGGGCATTGTCTCTAAAGGAGTCATGAATTTAGGCTGAATGTCTGATACTTGCACCACACAAACACATGCTGTATAATACCCAGGCATGTAGAAGATTTTTTTCTATTATTTTTAGACTAAACAGACATCAGAACCCTCTTCTCAACTGCTGCATTCTGAGCACAGTACTTACTTTCTGAGATCCTCGTACGAAGGCCAAGAGAACACGGCACACTGGTAGAAGCACCAGGCAGCAGTTGAGATTGAGGACAGATGCTGAAGCTCTGCTAACACACAATCCTAGCTGAACAAATATTGCAAGAGTTAGATTACAGGGAGAAAAGAATGGTACATGTGTCACTACTCAACCTCCTTTTCTTTGCTGTGCAACAAAATGGTTCCCATGCTCTCTGACTCAAAATAGTGGAGTTTCATGATGTTTTATGGTACTGAAAAAAACACTGGACACAGCATGCTATCCTGTTCTCAGAGGGAAGAAACAGCTCTCACCTTTGCATCAAGAAGTTACTAAAATTAATATTGTCAACAATAATATCACAAAATTACAACTTTGTACTGAAAGAGCAAATAACCTCATCAGAGCTCAAAGTCACATGGAACAAAACGTGTGAGACAACAATAAGCGCCCACTGAGAAACCACCTGAAAGCTCTGACAGGCATAATTAAATAAAAAAAAGCAATTAACATTATGTAGACACTGGGCAGCCACTTAAGTGTAATGATTTTCTGGTAAACAAGTCACAAAAAGAGTAAAAAAATTATTAATTTCGTCAAACTGAGATGATTATATTGTTTCTAGGACTGTTAGGGAATTGTCACAGAACCTTCCTCATCCATTCACATTATGCAATGCCATATTTGGACCTCAAGCAAGTAGGTTTTCTTAACTACTCAATTATTTTTTTTCAGTTTAACTACTCAATAGCTGGGAACCGTAATGAAATCTAATTTCACTAATGCTTTCACTGATATATTTGGAACTTACATAATTAGAACAAAAACACTTGTCAAATAAACGAACAAAGCACACATTCATGTCATAACCCTGTATTTTTAATCTTATTATCTCATTCATTTATGATTTTAAAAAAAGTTAGCAAAATGCCATCACTCTCCTAGTTATTAGGTTGAATTACCATTTTACTAGCTTATATAAAAGATGCTTTTAGACTGTCAACAGAATTCTGGATGGATATTTCTTACAATGTTCTTGAAAACCCAAGTTTTTAAACTCCTGAAGAAATTAATTTAAAAGCATTATAGTATTCAAGATAATTCAGATACTGCAGAAGTATGCGAATGAGTTGAGCAGGTACAAATTGGCTAATAAAATTACTAAAGATTTATTACTTTTTTGACAAAGTTTCATTTTGAAAAAGAGCATTTGCTATTTTCTCAGTCAAAAAAAAAATCTATCTGTGAAACATTTATTATATTCATATCTTTGTTACCAAGAAGAAATGAAACTGGAAACAAATGAGGGGGTTTATTATTTGGAATTTTTTTTACACAAAGTATTAGAAAAGCCTTGTAATTAAAAAATTTGCAATAGCTATCTGTTGGTTTTTTACAGACTTAGGTGCATGGCACAGAAATGGATTAATATGTAAGCTAGCAAAAATAAAATAACCGCATTTCAGAACATCTTGCAAGATCACAAGCATGACAGCATGACAAGAATTTCTCAGTACCGTAAAACATCAAAACTGCCTACTCTGTGTTTGCAAAATCCATGTACCCCATCTTCTCTGCAGCACCAGTAGGCAAACAGGAGGTAAAGGTCTTCAATCTACCTGAAACATCAAGCTCTTCATCTCAATCCTGTTTCTCTTCCAGCTACTTTATTTAGTTAGACCTGAGTGCTAGAGACCTCCTCAGCAGACACTACCTGCTTTCCCAGAACAAAGCAGTCATAAGGGCACCCTCTCTCCAAAGTTGCCTGTGAGAAGTACGAGCCATTACCCGACAAAATGTGCTCTGCCTTATTCTCTGCCACATGAATGTGTGATCCACAGCAAAAAGTCCCAGGAGAAGATCACCTCTAACCTACTAAATATAGAAAATAAGACCTAAACGAACCATGTCAGTTCTTTCCCAGTCTCCAGACACCTTCCACTATTTCTTCCAATGACCTGCTAGCCATTTTTTTTTACCCTAACATAAAACCTCCCTTGCTTCTATTTCATCTGTTAATTCACACTCTGTTCACATGCACAGTGAGAAATTATTCTTACAACTTTTCCCTCACAAGCCATGTTCTTCAGTGTTTTGATCATCCTCTCCTCCCTCCTCTGGATTTTCCCAGTTGGTCCACAGCCCAAGTATACCAACTACAACTGAGCACCAGCCACAATGGCCACATCCTCAGCAACTGAGCTGAGATTTTACCAAACACTGATGTCACTTCCCATTTCTAACTATGCTAAAAAAAATATTTGCAAATGACTACAAAAAATATTTCTCTATCCTTGCTCATAGTAGTTAAAGTGACTTCAGAACATCGTAAATATTTTTGGACTATGAGACAAAATGGTAGTCCCCCTGAAATTATTGGACTTAATGGCAAGCAAAATGTCTCTATAATGTCCCATTTGGATATATGAGACTGTCTCTATTTTTATTAAATCCTCTAAAGGGAAGCTAAAAATGAGCTATACACCTCAAGAAAGCAGTAACTTCAGAAATATGGTCATTAAAAACATATAAGCATTTTTATTAGAGCTTGCTGATCTGCCTCAGTATTACAGTGATTAAATGAGCATGATTTTAAAAACCCAAGAATTATTTAGAACTAATATTATGCAAACCCCAGAAGTAAGATGAATCATTTTGGTAGCTCTTGACTAGCACCCAAGAGCTGTGAAAAGCTGCAATACAATTAATAAGTAAAGCAGTTTGAAAATTTTAATAATTTCTATTATATGACCTATATGATACCTCATCGGTTTCTCAAGAATTTATGTTGTTTTCGGGTTTAAACACAAACTAGGCATGACATCAGTTATCAAAGACTTCCTTTATCAGGCACAACAATTCTTATTACAAAACTTGAACAAAACAATCTACCTTGGAACAGAGTAGAAAATAGTTCATTCTGCTCTGCATAGTTTTAAATGAAATAATTTCTTTTAAGAAGTAAGTAAAATGCCAAACAGTATAACCGGTACAGCAACAATGTGTACCCTAATAACTTTCGTTTTTCCCCACTATGTATCAAATTGCAAATATTCATTCATAATGCAATTACTATGGAAGAATGCCCTTACATCAATCCCAATTCAAT